TACACCCGTCAACAAAACCTCCCCAAACTTAGAGTTTGCACAAGTATAAGAATACAATAGGAGGTGAAAGGAAAAATTTCACCTTATCAAAGAGCGGAAGTCACAGTCGTCGCACACAATTGGGTTGCCTCCCAACAAGCACCTTTTATTATTGTCGTTGACTCGACTTATTACTTTGCTTTCTTCAAGCGGTCCATGGAGGCTTCATATGTGGCCTCAAAGGAGGCATGAACCTTGTAGCACCATGCTTCTTAAAGATCCCCTCGTCCGGTTTTGGGTGCTTGACCGGCTCTTTTCGTCTCGGTGGTAGATCGTCATGGTAAAAGACTAGCCCGAGATTATGGATAAGAGAAAAAAATCTCAACCACCTCAAGGATGTAAGGCTCTTGATTTTCAACATGCTCGGGTGCTGGTTGTTTGACCACGGATAGAAGAGATGAAATTTCGGTCATGCTCAGTGCAATTGATGGAGCTTTTATGCCATTTTTACCTTCGAGTGGGCTGTTATCGGGGGCCCCGATAGCTGTAGCTACTAGGTTTTTATTGGCGGGGCCGATAGCAGAGAAAATTTGCTCCACCTCGCCTTCTTTTTCATTCTCTTCGTCACTCGGGTCATCATTGGGCTCAGAAACATGATTTTCCAGCACCCCGGACTCCATCTCGCTGCTCGGCTCAAGGTCTCCCACATCAACATGGATGGCTTCGGCTAGCCGACTCTTGGCTCGGGCATCCAATTCGCTCAATACATCACCAATCTTTTTGCTACTAGCCGTCAAATAACTTTGACACTCCTCGAATAACTTCACCAATGATGGACTAGCCTCTCGAAGGTTTTGAAAAATATAGCGAGCCTCCATATTGGAATTGAGATTTTCCGTGCTCATAAGTAGGGTCATATGATCGAGAATAGTGTGGATTTTCATAGAATGAATTTCCACAATCTCCCTAAACATAATGATTCTCATCGAAATTTGAGTATGCCCAATCATCTCGTCGATACCAATCTCTCTCGGTAGCTCTACGTGCACCATATCTCTCGAACAAAAAAGGACAATCATCAGTGACGTGTCTTGTGGTACGACATAGACGACATGGTCTTCTTAGAACTTGACGAACACTCAGTGGCTCCTTGGATCATAGCCGACATCCTAGCCTCACAATGTGGATCTCTTCTTTCTCCTCTCATTCCATAATAAGAATCGTAATCACAATTCGGGCCCCAAGATGCATCCATATCGAACAAATACCACCTGCAAAAGAAATAAAATAAAATAAAAGAGGGATTAAAATAGTCAAAGAAAAATAAAATAAAATAAAAACTAATCTAATTACCTAATTCATTTAATACTAAAAAAAAATCACAACTCAATTGCGCCACTCCCCGGCAACGGCGCCAAAATTTGACCGCGCGTCGCAATGCGGCAAATTTAAATTTATATATTTTTCCTCAACTAACCTCTACTAACTAGTAGTAGTGGCGAGCAAGGGTCGATCTCACGAGGAGCAGGAACTAAATTGTGATAATTTCGTATTAATTGAACTAAAACTAAGAAAGCAAATAAGGGGGGATTGGTTTTATAAAACTAAAATAAAAATAACAAAATAAAATAAAAATCAAATAAAATAAGAGGAGTCCAATTTCCGGTTCAGTTATCACCCAATCTCAATTTACCGTTAATTAATTTCGACGCTTTCTTTAAATTGTTAATGAATTACTAACCCTAGCTAACAACAAGCTCTGTTAACCGAATTTTCCCTTACCGAATATTTAATCGAAATAGGCTCTTCGACTAAACCTAACTAGTGGACAACCTAGAATAAGCTCTCTAAATTTAGTGCACTAGCAGCATTAATTTCTTGAAAATAGATTAATCTAAGCAACAAACACAAAAGCTCGGACCATTTAACTTATGTTCACGTTACCCTAGAGATGCACGACCCTTAGTTTACTACTAATGAAACGAGACAATAACAACTACGGATTAAAGTCCCGAATCTAGCAATTAAACTATGAATATTTAACGTAGTTGGCCAAACTAAATCAAACACCCATAATTCATAAACACGATACACAGATAACATAAATCAACTCATCAACAAAATAAATATGTCGTCTAGATTAATCCACGATAAATAAAGATCCTTCAATTCATAGACAAATCGAAGTTAGGGTTCAAACATTCCCTAAAACTGGATAAAGTTACTTGTCTAACATACTAATAAAAATAAATAAAAAGATAAAAGAGAGAAGATAAAAATATCTCCCACTTATGTGCGGGTGCGGCTTCCCTCGCTTTTTCTCTTTCAGTCCGTGCATGTATTCTGTTTTTTTTTCTCCCTGCGGCTCTCGACTTCTTATCAATAATCCTCCGCCCAGGGGTAAAATAAGTTTGCTCTCGTCAAAATCCTTATCTCACGTGTAGTCCTCTAAATAAATATTTTCTCTCCACAAATAAGTCCAAGTGTCCTTAGCTGATTAAACTCCTCCAAGTAATTCCCTGGTATAAATAATGTGTGCCTGCTTATTCTTTGGTTTGCAAATCTCCTAATCCCAATTTTTAATTCTGCACGTGAGGCGTGAGGAGCCCAATTAATTCCATGGCTACATATTACATGTTCTTTGGGCTCAAAATCACTTCTCGTCTATTGGGCCAAAGTTGTGCACATTTACGGCCAAATTCATTAATTACTTGGCCGATTACGCTCATGTTTCGCCACTTATGAAAATACTCTTATATTCTGAAAATAAACAAAAAAATATTACTATATATGAATCCGTCCAAATAATAAATAAGTCGAAAAATATAAACATGCAAATAAATTAAGTGTATAAAAATACACTATTAAATATATAATACATGCACAATTTTTGACCTATCAGGTTGTCAAAGGATTTCAGCAGAAAGAAGGTATTGACTATACTGAAATCTTTGTTCCAGTTGTAAATCTCAATACTATCAAGACTGTGTTAAGTATTGTGACTAGTACGGCCTGAAACAAGCTCCAAGACAGTGGTATAGGAAGTTTGAAAGCTTCATGCACAAGGAAGGTTTCCAGAAGTGCAATGCTGATCACCATTGTTTCTTCAAGAAATATGAGTCCAGCTATATCATATTGTTATTTTATGTCGATGACATGTTAGTAGCGGTATCAGATATGAAAGACATCAGAAAATTAAAGATGCAGTTGTCAAAAGAATTTGACATGAAGGACTTAGGCCCAGCAAAGAAGATTCTTGGAATGCAAATCACAAGAGATGTGCAAAAGGGAGTTTTGCAGTTATCTCAGACAGAGTACATCAACCGTGTTTTGCAAAGATTTAACATGGACAAGGCCAAACCACGTCAATACACCTTTGGCCAGCCATTTTCTTCTATCCAATGATCAGTCTCCTCAAACAAAAGAAGAAGAAGAGTTCATGTCTAAGATTTCTTATGCTTCAGCCATTGGAAGTTTGATGTACGTGATGGTTTGTACGAGGCCAGATATTGGCCAAGCAGTGGGAGTTGTTAGCATGTTTATGTCAAATCCAGAAAAAGCTCATAGAGAAGCAGTCAAATGGATTTTGAGATATCTACGGGGCACAACAGAAAAATGTCTGTGTTTTAGAAAAGGAGATCTAAAATTACAGGGTTACGTAGATGCAGACTTCGGAGGTGAAGTTGATCACCGAAGAAGCACCACCGGTTATGTTTTCACTGTCGGAGCTACAGCTGTTAGTTGGATGTCGCGGATACAAAAGATTGTTGCTCTATCCACTACAGAGGCTGAGTATGTAGCAGTGACAGAAGCCAGTAAAGAATTCATATGGCTTCAAGGATTGTTAGCAGAGTTGGGTTTCACTCAAAAAGATAGTGTCTTGCACAATGACAGTCAGAGTGCAATACATCTGGCAAAGAACTCAGTGTTTCACTCTAGAACTAAGCACATCGACATAAAATATCATTTCATCAGATCTCTTCTTGAGGATGAAGTGTTGACTTTGAAAAAGATTGTAGGAAGTAAGAACCCGACAGATATGCTAACGAAGGTGGTGACAATTGACAAACTGAAGTTGTGCTCAACTTCAGTTGGCTTGCTAGAATAACAGACTGGAGAAGACTACTGCAGTAATTGAGGTGTGAAGACAGATTAAAATCAGTCCTCAAGTGGGAGATTGTTGAGTCAAAAAAGGGCTGCGCCCATTTCCTTTGACAAGCAGCAAAAGGAGAAAAAAAAATAATAAAAATGATGAAAAGTCAAATTTGGTGGCAAACTGCGCCACCATCATTGAAAAGAAAAAAGGAAGCCCGCAGCAGCCTTCGTTGAAGAGGCAGGTATTAAATTGGAGTGCAATTCACTCCCCTCTATAAATAGAGGGCATCAGGCAGAAGCAAAAAACACAACCAAAAATACAAGAAAGAAAAAAAAAAAAAAGAGTGAACTAATAATTTAGCCTTTGTGTGTATTTTTGAGTTGTGAGTTGTGAGCGAGTTTGAGAGTGTTTTGTAAACACTTGTGTATTTTTTCTTCCTAATAAAATAACTGCAGTAGTTCGGAGACGTAGACATTATTGGCCGAACTCCGTTATCAATTTGGTGTGTCCAATTTTTATTTTTTATTTCACTTTTATAGATCCGACTTCATGGAAAATTCAGCGTATTTTTCCCAACATATGGAGCCAACTCAAAACTGATTTTTGGAATATACCCATTGATTTCTTATTTTTCTATTGAGGCTGATTTAGACATATTACTATAATTTCTATTAATTTTAATTTATTGGTTATCGAAGTAGTCAAGTAGGTCCAAAATGTACAATAGGGCCAACCAAAGGGTTGGAAGAAGTTTGTACATCACCCTTCTCAGGCATAGCACAAACCAAGGGGAAATCACAGTTCACCCCTACTAGATACCACTATTACCTATACAAAATACCTAAACATTTAAAACCTGCATCAACATTTACAGTTCACTGCAAGCAAGCCAGAGCAAAAACAAAAATTTAACAGAAATAGATATCTATACAAAATCAACAGTACAAATAGGAAAGGAGGCCAAAAGAGAACAGATGTCTTCTACAACCGTGATAATGCTCCAATCTGGCCGGCCTTTTCCAGAAATTAGCTTGAACAATTCCTTATCTCTGCACCAGATATTTACTCTATGCCAACCCCACTCCACACCTTTTATCAGTTCATCCCTAATCTTCAGTAGAATGATTTCCACTGAGTGAAGTTTACCTTCCCTCCTAGAAATGCTCCACTGATTATCATGCCCGTCATCATTTTGTGCGGTATATTTGAACATCCAAGAATCTATATCCAAACCAGTAACACTGGGATTTATATTCTGTTCCCCTATTCCCTGATTTGTCACTAGATTCCTCGAGTCATTTTCAGTCCCTTCAGTCTGAGTTTGTATGCTTTCATACTCCAACCATTCACTCCTTGCCCCTTCTACCATCTGGAAATCTGATACCCATTCTCCTTTGAATAACCAGGCATTTCTTGTTTTCCAAGCCCACCATAGCATATAGGTAGACAAAGCTATTCTATCTTTGTTCCTATCTGACCATTTCATGCTGCACAATTCCTACCACCAGAGTTGGAAGTTTACTTGTTCCTGTTCTAACATTGTCCATGCCAACCCTGCTATTTTCCAACACCTCTGGGCTCTCTCACATTTGAAAAACAGATGTTCAATATCTTCCTCTCCCTCTCCACACCAACAGCATATTGGATCCACATTTACACCTTTTTGTAGCAGCTTTTTTCCAGTTCCCAACCAACCATGCAGGCATCTCCAAATGAAGTTTTTAATCTTTGCTTTGACAGGTAGTTTCCAAGTTCTTTGCCATACTTGTTGTCTTCTATTTGGGTTCATACTTGGTCCAACCCAGCCTGCCTTCATCTTCAAGTTCTCCTGGATTGTCTTGTATGCTGCTTTCACAGAAAATATGCCTTTTCTATCCACGTGCCATATCAGTCTATCTTTACTCCCACATTGGCTAATATTGATCTTGAGAATCATTTTTGCTTCCTGTGGATGGAATGTTTGCAAGATTAGGTCTCTGTCCCATTTCTTTTGACCTTCAATCATCAGATCAGCTACCCTGTACAGCCTTCTCCTGTCTTCTTCAAACCTGCACTGTGGAGTAAAGTTTGCAATCCCTGGCACCCATGGGGATTCCCAGATATTGATAGCACACCCATCCCCAACTTGGTATCTCATTCCTAATTTAAGGGACTGCCTACACTCTAGCCAACATTTCCAGATCCAAGAGTCTGTACTTTTCTTTGTTATGTTAAGGAAATTCTGCTGAAAAAAATATTTCCCTTTCATTACCCTACTCATCAGCAAGTTTGGTTTTGTTAGCATTCTCCAGATTTGCTTTATAATCAAGGCTTCATTTAACACTTCTAATTCTTTAAAGCCTAATCCTCCTTCTGCTTTCTCCACTGCCAACTTTTTCCAATTTGCCCAATGGATCTTATTTACCCCACTCTCATTCTTACCCCACCAGAAAGAAGCAATCTCTTTGGTAATCTCATTACAAATACCCACAGGCAGTTTAAACACAGACATCACATATATGGGTAAAGCACTCAACACTGTTTTTATTAAAATTTCCTTTCCAGCCTCACTTAAAAATTTATTCTTCCAACTAGAAATCCTAGCTACTACACTCTCTTTTACAAAGGAAAAAATTTCTTTTTTGTTTCTGCCTATCCCCAATGGAAGTCCTAAATATCTAGATCTATTGGCCATCACAATTCCATTAAAGGACCTGCAGATATCAGATTTAATAGATTCAGGGGTATTTCTAGAGAAAAACACACTGGATTTATAGAAGTTGACAGCTTGCCCAGAAGCAGTACAATAGGTATTTATAATATTCTGCAAAATAGTTGAGTGGTCTGTATCTGCTTGACAAAATATAAGAGAATCATCAGCGAAAAATAAATGAGAAACAATAGGAGCATGTTTACCAATTTTTAGACCTTTAAAGGATAAGGAGGAACATGCTTGATTGATTAAGTTAGAGAAAACTTCAGACATGATGATGAATAAGTAAGGGGATAAGGGGTCGCCTTGCCTCAAACCCCTAGAAGGTACCACATTTCCCAGAATTTGCCCATTAATATTAAAAACAAAAGAAGCAGAAGTAATACAGGTCCAAATCCATTTCAAGAATTTTTGGCAGAATCCCATATGCAGACACACCCTAATCAGAAAATTCCACTCAACTCTATCATAGGCTTTAGCCATATCTAGTTTGAGGGCCATAAAATAAGATTTGCCTTTTGAATGTTTATTTAGAAAATGCAGGCATTCATTAGCTATAATGACATTATCCAAAATTATGCCTGCCAGGGACAAAAGCAGCTTGATTTTGAGAAATACATATAGAAAGGCAAGACTTAAGCCTATTAGCTAAGATCTTTGCTATCAGCCTATAAGTGATGGTACAAAGACTAATGGGTCTGAAGTCTGAAACTTTTTGAGGGTTTTTTACTTTGGGGATAAGGGTGATAATTGTGTGATTTGTGGCTTTTGGAATACAACAAGATTGGAAAAAATTTGATACAGCAGCACAGAGGTCATTTTTAATAATATGCCATGCATTTTGGAAAAAAGATGGGGAAAAACCATCCATACCTGGTGCCTTTCCTGGATCCATATCCCATAATGCAGCCTTTATTTCTCCCTCATCCACTGCTCTTGTTAGCTTCTGATTCATCTCTGAAGTAATGGATCTTGGAATGCCCCTTAATATCTCAGCAGTAAAGGCAGGTTCCTCAGATGTAAATAGTTTCTCAAAGAACTGTTCTATCTCCTGCACAGCTTCTTGCATATTCTGACATCTCTCACCAGATGTCTTCACTAATTGCTCTACACTATTTCTACATCTTCTCTGCCTCACACATGCCTGAAAAAATCTAGTGTTTTTATCCCCTTCCTTTAGCCAACTCACCCTTGATTTCTGTCTCCAGTACACCTCCTCCTCTCTATAAGCTTTGTGTAGTTTTTCCTTGCATTTCTTCCACTCTTCCCAATTCCTCTCACTCCCCTGCATTCCCAACACTTCTAACTTTGCATTGCACTCCCTTATTATAGTGGCTGAATTAGTATTATTCTGAACTGCCCACCCAATCAACCCTAACTTCACATTCCTCAGCTTTTTTTGGAAGTTATACAATCCTCTCCCTTGCACCTCTACTCCCCATGATTTTTTCACACAGTCCCCAAACCCCTTCATCTTAACCCATCTACTGTCAAAGTAGAACCTTTTCTTTACTTTCTGCTCTAGAGGGTCTGATGTCATCAGTAACATACAATGGTCAGAAGAAGCCATAGGAATATGTAAGACAGATGTATTTGGGAAAGCCATAAACCACTCAGGGGATAAGAATACCCTATCAAGCTTCTCCTCAACAAATTGGGACCCTTGTCTATTATTAGACCATGTGAAAGGGTGTCCCACACTAGGACAATCTACCAGGTTAAGTACCTCAGTAAACCTCCTAAAATTATGAAAAGAAGCCTGGCTCCTTACCAATCTCCCCTGTTTTTCACTATTACTCAAAATGTCATTAAAATCCCCTGCTACAAACCAAAGACTACCCCAGTTGAAATGGTGTCTGATTAATAGATTCCACTGATCATTCCTAATAGCTGGATCTACACTAGCATAGATGAAAACAGCCCACATTTTATCCAATAATCCTATCTTCCTAAAGCAAACTTCTAGGCAAAACTGAGATTTAATAATTTCTAATACAGAGATATTAGCCGACCAAGTCAAAAACAGCCCACCCTGATTGCCTACAGGATTAACTACCACCCATCTATCATCAAAATGAAGTTTTTTGCAAACAGTTTTAACAAAAGCTTCTTTTTTCCTAGTTTCAGATAAAAAAGTGAAATCTGGAAGGTAGGATTTATGTTTATCCTTCAATTGGGAAATTGTAGAGGGTCCTCCCAAACCTCTACAATTCCACACCAAAACTTTCATTTGAAAATTTGGGATCATTTGTGGCTGGTCTCCCCCACCATTTTGCAAGATATTTCATCAGAAATTTTTTGTTTTTTGGAATTTATGTTATGCTGGTCTAGAGTTGTCTCTATACTACCCTCTCCTCTTCTCTTAGATCTAACTAGATTTTCCTGTTTTTCCTCTCCCCTCCCATTACTTCCCTCAGATTTATCCCCTCCTACATTAAGAGTGGTTCTGTCAATTCTAACAAATGTCTTATTTTGTCTAGGTAGGATTATCCTATATTGATCCTGCTGAGCAACAACAGGAACATTTACAAGATTGTCAGTGGACCTCACTTGATTTTCCACATCATCTAGGTCCATACTAGACTCCACTCCCTTACCCAACTTTCCAGAACTATCTACCCCAGGTTGAATCAAATGAGCCATATTCTGACTTTTATGATCATCCTCAGCCCCAATCCCTATAGCACTACCCTTGGCTATATGGTATACTAAACCCAAAACACCCCTATGCTCTTGCTGAGATTCCTCAGGACTGACCCTCATCTCAGGCTGAGAGTATTTACTAGAAGTTGAGTTGCCTCTATCCTTCCCAGGGCTAGAGGTTCTCATTTCCTTTGTTTCATTTGAACCCCCAGAATTACCCCTCAACCATTCCCCAAACTGTCCTGCCCTTAACACATCCCTTTTTATATCCACTTTCTTAACCTCACATTGTTTATCACTGTGACCTATCATCCCACAATAGAAGCAGAAAGTTGGAAGGTTTTCGTACCTAAATTCGATCCAGTGTTCTTCCTCCCCTAACTTCAGTTTGGTTCCTCTGAGAATAGGTTCTAGCAAATTGATTTCAGTTAAGATCTTTGAAGGCCCGGACCTTCAAAGATGATGAATTAATATATTTCATTAGTACTGTCCAGGTCCCAGCCTCACTCACAAATTTTGCACCAACAGAGCCCACACGCTCAGCTTTTATTTTCTTTCTCCCTCACACATCACACTCACAAAGCACACACCACTCCATTTTCTTTTTTTCCTCCATGTTTGCTGCACTCGTACACTTTTCTCAACACACACACAAGGCCACTCAAAAAGGGTGAAAGGAGTTATTCGGGCCACAAAAAATAACATTCTTAGATTTATCATTTTAAATCACATATTTCTTACTTTTATATTGCATCAAATTTAATCATTAAAGTTTACATATTATTATAACAAATACTTAAAATACCACTCAAACAATTTTATTTAAATTAATTCACTTTAACTAATAAGTCAAATCAAAATCGATTTTATATTATATCCACGCCAATGGATTGGAATTTAAAACATTGTAAATAGGCGTGCTTGGATATAAATATATTTGCTCAAAACGAGTTTTTTTCGTTAACTATGACTAGTTTTGAAAAAATGTGGTATAGTTATATAGTTGTTAGTGAATATTGAATTTTATTAAAAATAATATTTAAAATAAAATAATTAAAGTTGAGAGAGATGAATTTTATTAAAATAATATTTAAAATATGAGAGAGATGATGTTAAGTGATGGTTAATAAAAACTATATGACTGGATGGATATTGAATTAATGTTTTGAAGTGTAAGGATGACTGATTACTACTCCCTCCTTTTTTTAATAAGTGTCGTTTTGAGAAGTTGCACAATAATTAAGAAACTTTTTTTTGCCAATAATAACCCTCATTAATGAGGATAGAGATGAATGTTTTGAGAAAAGATGAAGAGTGCATATAAAAAGACGTAGTATATTTATTAGCTAGATGAGGGTAATAATGGAAAAATATGTACAAAAGATCCAAAACGACACTTATTTAGTCAATTGTTGATAAAGTCAAAATGACATTTCAAAAAAAATAGGAGGTAGTATTATTTAATTATATTGATAATATTGAGAATAATGGAGTTGTGTTAAAGTTGAGTTAGATGTGAGTAAGAACTGAGTATGGATTAGGTTATTTTATGGTGTTAATATCACTAAATAACCATACAAATTTACAAAAGATGAATTTATCCATGTTTTGTAAAAATATGTTTTTTAGCCATTTTAACATGTACAGTACTATTTTACCATTATCACAATTAGCAAATTTTATCCCAATTCCCCCGCCCATTTTTCTGGTCCCATTTATTCTCACCATTTTCACCTATCCGCATTCTTCACTAAAAACAGAGAAAAACAAGGGTTTTCTTCAAGCACCTCATCACGCAATCTCGGTCTTGGTCTCGGCCGTCGCGAATCTCCACGCTAATCTTCACCTAAAACCTCATCTTCACTCAATCTCGGTTGTCGCACATCTTTACGCAAGCTCGGTCTCGGTCTCGGTCGTCGCGAATCGAGAGAGAAATAGGGTGTTTCGCAGTGTTCGGTTTGTAGGATACCATCTTCACGCACACGGTCGGAATTGAGAGAGCGAGAGGGGTATTGTACTTTCGACAACCATCCCGCTCGCTCGTCGAAAATCGAGTGAGAATAGGGGGTTTCGTCTCGAAGCCCGCTTCCGGTTATCCCTCATCTTCTTCATTTTTTTCGTTTTGGGGTACTCATTTTTCTGCAACTTTTTCGCAATTTTTCTGCAATAGGGGGTCAATAGTAGCTGCATTGTGCAAGTCAGATTCACAATTCGGTAACGTAACATTTATAGTAGGTACTTGAAACAATTCGGCCACATTGTGCAAGTCAGATTCACAAGAAATTCTCCATTTTTTTAACTCTCCATTTTCATTGGTCATAAAGAAGTGAAAGTGATAGTCACCACGTGTGTTTGTCTCCACAAATAATGTCATGAACTCTATTTAAAAAGTCTTCATACGACAAACTCTCCAAACACATAAAGCGCATCTCTGTCTGTCCATTTTTATAAACATTCTCATATATCCCAAAATCCGCTATGCACTATTCAGACTTTATCTTACGACATCTGTAAAAGTAAAAAAGTATTTTAGTCACAACAATGTAAAAAATTAAGATTTAAGTAATCAATGTCTTATATAATAAAACAAATGAATTTTAAAGCACAAAGATTTCTGGAATCCCAGGAACGGTTTATGGATCTGAAAACAGTTTCTGGGATGCTTCTACTGTTTTTGGAATTCTAGAGACTGTTTCTAGGATCCCAGAAACCGTTTCTGGGACACCATTTCTTGGATCCCAAAAGTTGTTTCTCGGATCCCAGAAATGATTTCTAGAATCGTTCGTTTCTTGAATCCTAGAAACCGTTTCTAGAAACAAAAGATTATAGAAACTGTTTCTCGAAGGATCCAGAAACGGCTTATTGGATCCTAGAAATGGTTTCTGGGAAGGAACGATTATAGAAAACATTTCTGGGATTTTAAACGACTTCTGAGATCCCAGAAACCATTTATGGAATTTTGATTTTATTTTTAAAGTTGGGTGTAGAAATTGACCCATTAATAAGAAAACATGATAAATTATAAACATAATTTTTATACGAATAGTTTTAAAATGTCGCTGTAATTTTACCAGAATGTTGTCGAAATTTGAGAAAATTGAGAGAATCTATACTTATATTGTAAGATTTAACATTTATCATATTTAGTAGGTCAATATGTAGTCAACGGCCATTTGCATTAATTACTTTCCCAAAAAAGCAACTTCAATGTCCTTTTTACACACCTATGTTATGTCCTTTTCACACGGTTACTTAACTAATTAATTATACAAATTATTTATCATCAAATCTTTCCAGTGTACACGCCTTCCAAGAGTCCTTATCCCATTATTTTTTTTGGTTACCACCTTATAAGGAATAGATAAGGACATAATATTTGGTCATACATAAATTAAAGGAACAAAATTTCGAAATAGTAGGTGTTAATAAGGATAAGATTTTTTATGATACACCATATCAACATTGAAAACGTGTGAATGATTGATATTTGTTCGGAGATTTTGATTTCAAAAGTCAACACGCAACAAATTCCCAACTTTTTTTCATTCCGATTAAAAAGAATCCAATAACAATAATACTTTCATCAACAACGATATATATATACATATTCTCATTACCACCATCACGCATTCACCATATTACAATTGCATATTTTAGAACAAAAAAAACATTCTCCGATGGATCAAGCATTTGGGTTAATAGAAGAAATTAACAGGAGCAAAAGACCAATGCTTAAAGTTCGGATTGTCAGGATGTTTTATCAAGATAAGGGCAGCACATTCAAGTCGCATCTAGAGCTTATTTTGCATGATAGAACGGTAAGGATTCCTAATCGATTTCAATTTTCTGTATTTGTTATTTGTTGTTTACATATCATATAGATTACTTTTAAATTTCCCATTTCGATTTAATTGTGAAGGGAAAACGCATTACAGCATTCCTAAGAGCAGTCTACTTTCCGGGTTTCAAAGAGAAGTCCATTGAAGAGAGCATGGTCATTCTTATACGAAACTACCAAGTTGATAGCAACCTGGGTATGTATAAATCTACGGATGGCGAGTTTAAGATAATCCTACATGGGGGCACTGTATTTATGAAATGCAAAGACACTTTGCTTTTCCTATGTTCCGATTTTCATTCAGAGACTTTGCAACTATGCAAGACGTCAACAAAATAGACGAGTCGATCCTATTTGGTATTTTTACTTTATACTTTTGGGAATATTATTTTACGTATTTGATTTACAGATTATTTATAGATTTATATATCTATATATATATAATAAGAATTAACATTTACCATAAATAGTAGTAAGGAAAAGTCAACCCACATTTATTATATACTATTTTCAGCAATTTTTTTATTTTACATTTTAATTTTAATTCATTATCAAAAAATTGGATGGTTCCTAAATTAATGGGTTTTAAATGCACGTATCATGTTTCATTTAAAATCGGATGGTTCCTAAATTAATGGTTACAAACTTTTCAAAGTACGTATCATGTTTCTTTTTTTTCTTTTTTTTTTCCGAAACGATAGAGGTACTATATTAATAAAACCGCACAAAGTGCGAAGAGAAAGCAGCCAAAGGCTGAATAGTACAACCAAAGACTAGAAAACTGGGAGGCAGATCCAGAGATCGCCTAGAGCCGACCCCAACGGGGTAATACTCGGGGAAAAACACAAAAAACAACAAAAAACACAACCACACTAAATCAACTACACAAACAAAACTAAAACAAGACCCCAACAGGGTAATACCCGAGTGTCGGACCCCCACGGAGTAATAGATTTGACACCCGGGTGCACAGAGGCCAACGGCCCAAACCTAAAACACAAGACAAACACAAACACAAAAACAAACACTAAACGAGAACAACAATCCAATCTACTAAAAAACAAAGAAGGAAAAACACAGCTAAATAAATAAGGCCCTTCCACAGCAAGTCAGCCAGCTCGAACCAATGGAGAACGGTCAATATTAGAGGATAATCCAAGTCCAGGGACGGCTCCCAAAACTGCCACAAGGCCTATACAAGAAGTCGAGCCCGAACACAAACCAAACTCCAAAGCAACCCGCCTCAACCGGAAGGACAACCGAACACGCACCCACTCTAGCACTATCCGAGCACGCCTAACACCACTAGCCGAGCGTCGGAGCGCCAGAATCCCTTCGTCTAACACCACTAGACGATAAAGGGGGGTGGCTCGGGCCCTCAACTCAGATACACCATCAGAGCCCCTCCCCGCCTCTCGACCAACGGACCAGCCAATACCGCCACATGTCACCGGCACCAGAAAGAGAAGAACCCCAAACGGGTTTCGCCGGAAAAAATCGGACCACCCAAAAGGGCCCTTCGATCGCACCAATATATACAGAGACAAGAGCAGAAGCCGAAATTGAAGGGAGACTCACCTTCAATCAAGACTGACGGGCAAAAGATGCACCAATTGCAGCCAATCGACGACCACAAAGCTCTCCGCCTCCAATCGCAAAAACACCGGCGAACAGGGGATAGGCAGACCGACAAGCTTCAGTACACCGCGGCAACACCGGAGGTCCGGGACAGATGAGGAGGGGCGGCGGTCGAACGCGACCATCGGCCGGCGCCGCACCGCCGCCGAGGAAGGCGACGCAATACAGATGAGAACGGTGCTAGGGTTCGGTGGTTTTTTCGGTCGAGAGAGATGAGAGAGTTTTTTTTCGGTTCGGTCCAGTTCCACGTATCATGTTTCAAAAATTATAAATCATTTAAAATCGGATGGTTCCTAAATTAATGGTTACAAGCTTTCCAAAGTTGTAATCTTTATGACATCTTTTCTTTTTGACTTTTAATAATAAAATCATTTTAAATATATATATTCTAATCCAAAAATTCAATCATGTTAAATATATATATATATATATATATATAATATTGAACGCTAAAAATATTTTTTAAATTGCATACCCAATCAATTAATCTTGATTTTTTTTTTAAGTTACTATGTTTATTTTTTATTAATATGTATAAAATAAAAATAAAAAATTCATCTTTAGATATATAATTTATAATCTTAATATACTATCATTTGGTGTAGACATATGAATTATAAAATTTTTTAATTTCATAAAATTAAATATTATATTTAAAGAAAATAAGAAAATTACTTTGGATCAATCGGGTGATTGAATTGAGGTACTGCCCATGTTATTGAATTACTTTTAATTAATATTTAAAATAGTAAAAAAACTTGACACAACTTGGTTGGTCCCAGGTAACTAAGTTATGTATCATTTTGACCAGACCAAATCGATTATTGAACCTAAATATAAATTTTAATATTAAAAATACTTTATTACGTGAATGTGATTTAGTCAAAACCTCAAATAATCATACATCATTAAATGATTTATGAATATTTATATATAATTTTATTATTATTTATGTGAACAAAATAATTATTTTATTATAATTTATATTAATGTACGGTAAATATAAAGTTTTCAGAACCGGACCGTCATCGAAGCGATCAAGTTATTTTATTAAATCATTTGTGTTTGTTCATATTTTAATACATTATACTTTACTGTATATATATAGTACTTTTTGTAGTAAATTTAAATAAAAATTGTTACTTAAATATCTAAACAATTTATAAATTCAATGTTTAAACTAATTGATAAACAATTTATAAATCTCTATTTTATTTAAATATGTAATTTTATTTAAAATAATTTTTAATGTAACAAAATTTGTTTAGAAAATCCTATCGATCTTATCAGTCCAACAGACTGGTGTTGACGGATTCGATAGCAAATATTTTATTCAAGCGCACTAGACTGGTTATAAACCGGTTCTCGGTCCATCCGGTCGGACTGTGTCCAACCCAATTTAATTTAAAAATAATAGGTAAATCATGCTTAATGTTATTTATTTATTTAATTTATAATATAATCAAAATATTGTTTTCCCGTGCATCGCACGGGCCACGCACTAGTGAGATTAAAAAAGAAGTGGAGATGATGAAAGAGAGAAGAAGATGAATGAGAGATAAATTGGGAGAAAGAGATATGAAAGAGAGAAGGAGATGAATGAGAGATAAATTGGGAGAAAGAGATGAAATTTATGATTTTTTGTCTTTTTGTAATTGGAAAGTACATGTATAATTTTATAAGTGCCAAAATACTAAAAAATTATAATTTTTACAAGATATGAATAAAATTCATCCATGAAAATGACTGAAAAACCAATTCACTAAATTTTATATACAGATACACGGTTTTGCTATGAAGCTCCGTAGTGGAACCAACCAACTATATACAACAAATAATATATCATATTGTATCTAGAAGGTTGACTCCGTTACCAGCAACTATTGGCTTCCTAGCAAAACTGTACAGATACATTCGAAATCCCTATTCCACTCGTCTGTTTACAGAGGAAAGAGCACCTGATATTGAATCCCCAGTCGCCCGCGATGGCGAATGGCCGCAAAAGACTAGCAGTATCCAAATCGGACCTCTTGAAGAAGCAGAAACAACGAAGAAATCGAAATCTGGCGGCTTCGAATCGCTCGGGTTGAGCCCCGATGTCTACAATGGCGTCAAGAACGGATACAGAGTGGCGAACCCTACCCAGCACATGACCATACCCTTAATCCTCTCTGGATACGAAGTCATCTCCATGCCCCCGCACTGGATCCGGCAAAACGGCGGCGTTCCTAATCCCCATGCTCCAGAGTCCAGAAGCTCCCGCATCACACATGCCCCAGGCTGGAGTTAGAGCTCTTAAAAATTCTTTCCCTCACACGCGACTTGGCTCTTCAGATTTTTAAATTTACCAAAGAATTAGGTCGCTTTACAGGTGTTTGCCTTTTTATCATCTCCAATGTTCAAAGATGGTGTTTTGGAATGCAAACGGATGAAATTACGTTTTTCTCTTTCGAGCTTTAACTGTAAATGTTATATTCATGTATATAATTCATTCGTTCTTGGTAGACCTTCGTTCTAGCTTACTGGTCGGTGGTGATAGCATGGGAAGCCAAATTGGCTCAGAACCCCGATTGCATCAATTGCTACTCCCAGTAGGCTTATGCATCATTTGGAAGAGATTGATGACATATCCTTACGCACTGTGGAATACGTTGTGTGTTTGATGAAGCCGATTGCCTCTTTAGCATGGCATTTGTCGAGCAGTTGCACAGAATCCTTGCTAAGCTGGGTGAGAATCCTTGCTAAGCAGTTGCACGAGGAGGTTTTAAGAGATAGAGATGCTGCTATGGCTAAAATCAATCAAGCGGTTGCAAATGGTGGGACTGTTTATGGTCATTTTACCCATAGAGCCATAGATTTACTTTCGGACAGAGTCCTGAGAAATCACTGACATGTCTGCTGAACTCATTCCCTTGCTGAGACCTTCTTCAAAGGCATTTTTGCTGTACACATAAACAAAGCAAAACCGTCTAGGGAGTCTATTAAAAGGGTAAAAGACTTCCTCGTGAAGGTTTGCACCCGATGTTAAAAAATGAACTAGGGGGCGATGAGTTGTCGCTTTGGCCTTTTTTCCGAGCGCTTGAAGGCATTTAAGTGAGTCCTAACTGAACTTTAGAATGTGAGTTATAAAGAATCACATGGGGAAATTATCTTGGACAATTTATCTCATATATGTGGCTTACTAATAGGCCCAAGCAAACCATACTGGAAGCTGAAGCGAGGCTGCAATATCGAAAAATCTAAAGGTACTATCGTCTGTTATATCTTTGTGCCAGCTATTATTATGTTGCTACTAGATTTGTATTTTGTTTTGTTCTTTTACTTCTATTGAATGCTATTGATGTTAAGGAGAAATCCCAAGGATCTTCTAGCAGTGTTATCGATGGTGGATGATGGGCACTGGCTGAAAGCCAAAAAAGGGTCATATTTCTATGGCGGATGGTGTAGCGAAAAATGGCAAAAGTGATGGCGGAGTCAACAAATTTCAAACAAAAGAGGTATTAGTTTCACAACATAGCAACATATCAACATGTTCAAAATAACCACACACATCACACACATCAAGGGGAAAAAAGTTATCCAAACAATTCAAACAACAAACATTCAACAAGTAAAGTCTTCAAATTCTCAAACCAAAAGCAATGATAAATAAAATGCAAATCAAATGATTAATCATACTCCTCTAGCCCAACATAATCATTTTTCATGTTATCATCAAGTAGAGCATCTCTCTTCCTCTTCTCCATCCAAATCCACAAATTCTTCTTCTTCTTCTTGAGATTATCCATCTTGATCTTCAAATTCCTCTTCCTCATCTTCAACCACTTTCTTCTTCTCTTTCCCTTGTGTAACTTGTTTATTCACGTTGGAGTTAGTCCTACTTGAACCAGCGCCTGTAGCTCCTTCCTTTTTGTAGCATTTCACTTCATATGCATATACGTTATAGGCTCTCCAACCCCCGAAGTCTTATACAAGGTATCCCAATTCAATGAGGTATCACCGTCAATACCAAATCCATTCTGGCACCATCATCATCATCATCCATTTCTCCAACTAACCATTCATTACAATTGTCATGCTCGAGTGAAATTGGGTTAAGAATATCCCTAACATTAAATTTCATCTTCAATTGTTGATTGTATTTGGCATACACCAAATTATGCAACTTCTTATGCTCGAGCTTATTTTTTTGCTTTGAATGAATTTGGAATGAAAATAATTACAAAAATACTAGTTAAAATAATTATAAAATAGTAATGATAGATAATACAAATCATTGCAA